TGCCCTTTCCCAGTCCTGGGCAACTTAGTTATGAAGTCCATTGATATTTGTTCCCACTTCCATTGAGGAATCTCAAGTTGTTGGAGTAGACCGGATGGTTTTTGGTGTTCGGCCTTGACCATTGCACAAGTTAAACACTTATTCACATACAAGGCGATATATTTCTTCATTCCAGGCCACCAATAGTGTTCCTTAAGATCCATATACATTTTATCCGCTCCCGGGTGGATTGAGTATTTTGAGCGATAGGCTTTGTCCATAATCATTGGTCTAAGGTTGCCAATCTTAGGTATCCAAACCTTATCTCCCAAATAACACACTCCATCTGATTTCAGTTGAAACTTAGTCTCCATGTGGTGTAGGGTCTCATTCTTCAAATTCTTTTCTTTTAATGCTTCTTTATGGTCCTCGAGAATTTGTGCTTTCAAACTCATGTTTACTATTGCTCCCAAAGCTCGCACCCTTGTTGGCTTCACCCTTTCCTTCCTACTTAGAGCATCAGCTACTATATTAGCCTTGCCTGGATTGTACTTAATTTCACAGTCGTAATCACTAAGCAGTTCAACCCATCTTCTTTGTCTCATATTTAACATTTTCTGGTTGAGGATGTGTTGAAGGCTTTTGTGATTAGTGAACACAGTGCATTTGGTACCATAAAGGTAATGTCTCCAAATCTTAAGTGCAAATACTACGGCTCCTAAGGTCGTGCATAGTATAGTTCTTCTCAAGCACCTTGAGTTGTCTTGAGGCATACATAATGACCTTGTCTTTTTGCATTAATGTAACATCCAATTTCTAATATGCCTTATTATTTGCTTAGTATATTTAATTATTGGGTTAAATAGAACTTATGATTTAGTGGGAGTTTGGATCTGAAGTTTTAGAATTTTATTTCTTAAGAATATATTAGAGGATTTGGAAAATTTTTACGTCAAATAGATACGTAAAACTGATTTTCTTGGGAGATATTTTCTGGAATATTTTTGTTGCATGTTATAGATTATCTCTTTATGAACGTGTAGGCGAAAACCTCATAGAAAACGAAGGTCCGAGCGAAACGTTATGAATAATTTAAGTATTGATGGTCAAAATGGGTACCTAGCCGGGCCAAACCGGTCCAACTCGAGTTTTAGCATTATAAATTGGAGTTTTGGCCCATTTTTCATGTCATCTAAGTCCAGAACTCACACACACACACACTAGAGGTGCGATTTTCACACACATAGACTTGATTCAACTCAAATCAAAGAGGAACTACAAGATCTTGGAAAAAATTGATCATCAAGTAAGGTATAATCTATTTTTGCACTTGTTCTTGGTTGACATTCATGTTTTATGGATTGCATGTTGAGATAGAGTTAGGGTTTCATATGAGTTTGATCTTAAGTGTATAAAATGAGTGCATTTTAGTGTTTTTGGCTTGAAATGGTCATTAGATTCAAGAGATTATCAAGATTTATGCAAGTTCATCATATGAACTTCGACTTGATTAAGTCAATGATTTGGGAGATAATATAAATGATAAAATAAAGGTTGGATTTTGGTTGTT